TTACACGCTTAATATCCTATTTTATCTTATCCTTATCCTTATTTGTATATTTTATATTGCTATATATTTCCTTGCTGCTATATTTTATTACCCAGCTATGGAACTTATTAAAAAGTATATATAATTTAGTTTAATTGTAGTATCGTAGTTGCAATTTTATATAAGTAATTGTATGTCTTTCATCAGTCTTCTGTTTGTTTCTTTGGTTTAATTCTTCTTATTTCTGGTAATTAAGGCACAATGCTATCACCTTCATGCAATTAGCCTGTTCCCGAACTTGTTTTTCAGTTTTTGCTGTAAACAGATTCGTAAAACGGGTGCGAAAATTTGTTTATAGATTGCAAGCTTTAGGAAGAACTGCGCCAGAATATACAATGAAATGGAGGAGCCAATCAGTTATCGCGAATACTCATAAGAGTGGACCATCGCCAGCTCCGAACCACGTGCTCGATTCCTCGACCGGAAGTGGTCTAGGAGAGACAAGAATCCTAATTCTCTTCACGATACTCCTCGCTTACGCCGGTTGTTGAGTATACGAGCTCAACATACCGTGTCCATATACGTTCCTGTTGAATAAAAAACAAACTATAAAAACGAGCCTAAGGTTTTCGTTATGTGTGTATATACATCCGTCATTTAATTATCAATGATGCTCGTATTTCAATGATATTATTTGAATTTTGTTTAAAATCAAAAGATGAGATTCATATTATCATAAAATGTAATCATTCTAAAAATTATAAAGTCTCTTTATTGTAGTGTTTTTATCATTAATTAAGAATCATTATTGAAAAATAATTGAAAAATACTGTGATTTGTTAATAATAGTTCGTTATTGCAAAATTAAACACGAGCATCATGTGTTGATCGATAAATGAAAGAATTCCAAAACGATTTAATCGAATTTTCTAAAATATTTTTCCGAAATTCGAAATTTTAGTGTAATAAACACGGTGACAATTGACACCTCTACAGGAACGTAATCGAAAAATAATGAATGGTACGAAATCGCATTTTGGAATTCAGCAATCTAGTCGAATTATATATAACTATATATATAAAGGAAATAAGAGATATACAGATCAGAGAAGAGAGAAATATATATATATATATAATATACATATATATATTGAAAATCACTTGGTGTATACCACTCGTTTTACCTGTAAGAGTCTAATAGATCATGTAAATATTATACATACATATATACATAAATTTATATGCAGAATGGAACGTTTGCAAAAAAGCAAATTGAACAAAATTCCTCTTGATCATTAAAAATATAAATTCCTTTGATAGCTTTAAAATTATTTTAAATAAATTTACTTCTTAATCGTTCTAATTAGTTTTCTATCAAATTTTAGTAGATGTCCTATAACTTTTGAGCAGGGATGCTCAAATTATACTAAAATTTGCTTCTTTATGACGTTCCTTTCTGCAGATAAAAATATACATATAACAAGTGTATTAATGAAAAGGAGAAAAAACAACAGAAAAAACGCGATGCACGGATTTGAAGTAGCGAAAACCACGCGTCACCTCTCTCACGCAAAAATGCCAAAGTAAACGTGTAAGAAATTCTATATTATAGAACCTTGTACATACCTTGTACGTGATAGCACAGGTAGAATTTGTACAGAGTATCACTACGTTAAGATATTGATATTATTGTAAATTACGCGATAATCGGATATAACGTGGCGCGATTCGAGACAGATTGTATTTTAACGAACGAGCTTCGTGTGCCCAAGGCACATCTCGATTAATTGTTAACGCGTTTTTCCGGAAGTTCATCGAAGTCCATTATTTTTCTTATTTATATCCATATCTCATTATTTATTTTCTCAAATTGCTTCGGTGGTATTAAAGATTTTCTATTGATATATTAATATTTGCATTATTATTAAAATTTCTATTGTTTAAATTTATTTAATTCGTTTAGCTAATGTCATATAACTATAATTAAAATTGACACCCTAACTATTATACATGAATTTATAAATTCAATTATCTTCTATGATAGTCGATCGACTTCCGGGAACGCGATTGATTGTTAGAGTAAGCTGGAAATAAATGCTAGAATGTGAATGTTTATTATACGTATCGGATTAAAAAGGAATATTAAACTAATGACAAACAAGAGCATGATTGAATTAAAAAGAAGGATCATCAAGCGATGTGACAAGTTTCCATCAATTTTCAGTAAGTTTTATAAAACATTCTTTGTGCAATATTAATTAAGAACAAAATGCTACATACCAAAGCCATAGTTTTAAACGTATGAAGAAGTTTTAGTTTTTTTTTTTAAGAATAAAATAATATATCAGAATTAGTAATATAATATGAAAATAAAGAGATACTTAAAAAGGAGATTAAAACTTTTACATACCTCTAATATTTATATTGTTAATTATTTTACATTCTGATTTTATCTGACAATACCGAATTTTGCAAGAGGACTTGTGTGTTAATGGCTATCAAAACACGTCATTAACACTAATTTAATTATTAATATCATATAATTCCATTACATATTTAAAAAAAAACATACTTTTAACCACCGATATGTTGTTCAATCTTCTTTGAATAATAGATATTAAATATTCATTACAGAACAAAATTAATTAGATGTCGAATATTTTTTTTTTTTTAACAGAAAATCGATAATGATCGAACGATTGATATAAAGAATCGAAGTCTAACTGTTGACGCTAAAATAAAAATATTAAGATTTGTATAATAAAATGAACAAGTTCGAAAAGTGATGTTCAGGAGTCTCTTTTCTGCAACCTCGTCGAAACAGAGATGAAAGTCACAGTGTAATTAATCGACAGTGTACTAAAAAGGAGATGACATATTCTACAAAAAATAATGAACAATTAAAGAGACGCACATTCTTTAATAAATGTAACTAATGTCGGCCAAGCAACAGAGACATGTGATTTCAGTGACTTGTGTTTTAAATCGGTGAGCGATATTTCTTAAGAAAAATTGCGCTGGTCATTTTAAATATATACCAGATGGATCAATAATTATTAGTACTTCAATTTAATTATAAAAGATTCTGAAAAATTGTTAAATAAAGATTGATAATATCTATTTTTGGAAGAAATCGTTTCAATAAACCGGAAATCTTGGAGTAAAGTCTCTATTTATTATTTATTGGTGAACTCAAATTTAAAGAAAACAGAAAAATGAAGTGCAGATGGAACTGTTCGTACAACAAATAATTTTGAAAATAATTAGAGTACTGATAATTAGCGATCCAATAACTATATTGTATAAGATCATATAAAAATCGTTTTCGAATGGAGAACAAAAATAATATAATTACAACTCAATGAAGGTACACGATTATTTAGAAAAACATAAATCTATCACATTCTCACAACGATTGTAATGCGATTTGTTTCTTAAACAAATGTACCGATTTTGCACAAGACACGTCTACCTTACGATGAAAAGATACATGTTACATGTATGTACAGTATCAATCATAGTGTCCGTTCGTCTAGTGAAAAAGCACTGACCTTGGAGTCCTGGTTTAACCGCAGCAAATATCATAAATCTAATTATTTGATAAAAGCGTTAAAATAATTAATATAATCATCTGATAAAAGTTTTAAAATATTTATTTGCTGTGGTTAAACTTGGACTCCAAGGTCAGTGCTTTTTCAGTAGAAGAACGGACACTATGATCGATACTGTACTAGTCGCGTATACTTAAGTCACAATAAATAGTCAATTGTTTCATATAAAGTATGAATAAAGTGAAACGAAATCCATTTACCCATGTAATTTCTCACCTAAATCTTAGATCACAGAAAATATAAAATATGTCAATTACCTTACCAGAATTTTTCTTACACTATTTTACATTAACAACATCTATCTTTACTAAATTTATTCCAACCTTGGTTATACAGGGTGTTCGATAACAGATGGGCAAAATTTTAAGGGGCGATTCTAGAGATCAAAATAAGACGAAAATCAAGAATAACAAAATAGCGTTTGCGGCTTTGTTTTCCAGTAATTAACGTTTAAATATTCGAGTAAAAAGCGCCTGAAACCTGCAATCCGCCCAGCACCGACGACTGAATGTCAGGTCAACAGGAGTCGGTACAGTCATAACCAAGAATCGAAGCCAAATACAGCAGTACCGAGAAACAGAACAGCACGCGGTAGGTTTCTACTATTCAACGATTCTTGGTTATGACTGTACGTTCCCCTGCTGACCTGACGTTCAGTCGTCGGTGCTGGGCGGATTGCAGCGTTCAGGCGCTTTTTTAAACGTTAATTACTGGAAAACAAAGCTGCAAACGCTATTTCGTTATTCTTGATTTTTGTCTTATTTTGATCCCTAGAATTACCCCTTAAAATTTTGCCCACCTGTTGTCGAACACCCTGTAGTTATTAAAAACCTCCAGTCTTATGTCAGTGATTACAAATATAGAAGACTGGACATGCCTTTATTTTCGAGGATTCGTGATTTAGGGGGTCCCTGATACCCCGGATGCCATAATATCGGTATGCAGAGTGTTACTGGCGCTTCGGGGTCCCTAACATCCCACGATGATATCATGTCGATATGTAGAGTGAGCCGCCGTCGCATCGCGTCGGAGTCCCTAATACCATAAGATGATATCAGGGTATGCAGAGCGAGTTCAAGACCTAATGAAAGGGATAAAATAATAAATGACTTGGAAGGGTGGTCCCCACGAAGCACACAAATAGGAGGCCCACAAGAAAATTGGACATGCCTTTGTTACTAGCACATAACAACGCCGAACTCGAGATACTGACTGATTGTGAGTGGTGGGGAATAGTCGTTGATATCGAAGTAATCTGCTGTTACCGTCAACGTGCATTATAGACTGTTGCAGTACGAAGTGTTTCACATTTTGATACGAGGACAGAGCAAGTGGCGCTCGTTTTCATGGCACAAATTCAAGACTCTTTGGAAACAAAGGCATGTCCAATTTTATAGTCACTGGTGTATGTATGTACTACTTACTACCTAAGTAAGTAAGTAGTTTGCGATTGATCTATTCTACACTTTGTCTGATCTATGTAAGTATATACTTACATCCTAACATCGCATATACCATCAGATGGTAAAAATTAAAGAATGATAAGATAGGTGCAAAATATAAAAAGTATGACAAAAATTAGAAAATTTATTGGAGTAATAACTTCATACAAAGAAAATACAGTAAAATTTAAACAAAAGCAGTGTTTCTAGAAACTGCTATGCACTTCTACAATGTTAATACACGTAAGGGTACGCGCAGTCGCAGATGAAGATAGAAGATATTAGTTGCTAAAAGAAGGATGGGTCATAGTGTTGCGTAGTAGGAATGTAGTAGGAAGGAAGGTTGTTTCATTGGTAGTAGGATTTGTTTTTTAATCTTATGAAAGGAAACAGTACGATGACGAGTGACACCGGTACACGTTATTACGTGCGCTGTGCGGGAACATTGCTGGGAAATGTCAGGACTAAGTATACGATTGGTGACAATGAATTGTGATCCTAGTAGTCGTCCTCGTTTGAGAACAGAATTGCCAGGTGTTCGTTTCTTTCCTGGTCGTTTACATTGGTACTCAACATCATTTTGTCAACACGGTCAACCGTGGAATGGCAGCAGCCTTAAAAAAGAATCATTCACGTAGAAGGTTGGCCGCCCTAACGTTTCTTTCGAACATCTCTCTCGATGGCAGCCACCGCGATACCAAGTTAGCCGTTCTTTCGCGGAATGGTGTTGCTCATACTCGTACCCTCAGCGACAGTCAAGCTCATCAAGTTGATGTCCGTCAAACTGACTTAAATGTTTCATCTGAAGAAGTCCTTGATGACAGCACAGAAGAGCAGTTAATACATTCATCAGTGAAGCAGACAAGTTCTCCACAGCTAGTGTCAAAGAGTGGTGAACATAATTCATTTAGTTCAAATTCTGATGGGATATTAACTCCTGCGAAAGCAGCAGTAGCTGTTTTTCTTGAACAAGAAAGAAATTATCCACAGATTTCTACTGGATTCCATAGCTCATTCAGAGAACGGTAAATGGTTGTTTGCAAATATATTATACTTTGTTTCAGTTTGTAACGTCACTGTTAAAGAATTTAGGTCTTGATTTCTTGTAATTTTATATTTTAGGTATGTTTACAGACATCAGATTCTTCATATCAAAAAGATTTGTCATTTACTTTGTTATTTTCTATATACTAAACACTTCTGCTTCGTTATTTGTATCATAATTGTATCATAATTATTGTAACCAGCATTAGGAATTTATATATAGCCTTTGTATGTAAATTACTATAAGGATATAAAAAAATACAGTTAATAAATATTAATAAGATATATACATTATTTTTGTAATTCTATTTGGATGTTATTCATCTAATTTAATTGGTGAATAGTATAAATAATATTGAATAACATATTAAGTATGTTATGTACTAAGCGATACATGTAATAACTATAGAAAGTCAATATATTCAACAATAAATGTCTGAAATGATTCCCACTTTTGATGGCCATAATTGCAATCATTTATAAATACTATTTTTGTTGTTTTTTGTAATTTTATATTTGAAAGAATAAGTTTATATAATGCAGAATTATATAATCATAGATGTATATTTAATTGATCTATGTACTGTTAAATAAAATGTATGCTTCTGTTTCTCAGTACTGGCACAACAGGCAGCGAATATTCGTTACCTGAGAGGAGAGTAGGTTCTTTGCAATATAAAAAGCGCATAACTCATCAAACATCCACACTTTCTGAGGATATAAAACATCAGTATAATAGTTCCAATGAGAGTATTGGTTCTTTACGTTCTAAATCACAATCTACAAAGTCAAAAACAAAAGCATCAAGTAATACACAATCTGGTGGTACAAACAGCTGCATTATACCAGAAGTCACAAGGGAATTGCGTTTAATGCAACGCCCTGTGAATGGTTACAAATTCGGAGATGATAGACTAGTTTTGGTTTCTAATAAACATGTGCCATTTTTAGTGTTTTCTGCTCTTCCATACAATAAAGGACAAAGATCTAGTTGGTACGATAATATTTTGCAAACTAATTTATGGAAATTAGAAGAAGATTGTTTAAAATAATATGAACCTACTCTTGTCGAATACTTTTTATTTATAGGTCTGAATTACGTAAAGATACGAGTAGAAGAAAAAACATTTCGGCACAGCGGCCACTGTCCGCAATTAATGATAACATTGATCCCTTTGGTTTATTGGGTATAGAACGAGCTAAAGACGGCCAGGTATCTATTCGTATTGGAAAATGTAAAATAAATGAAATATAATTACTTTCACAATTATATTTAAAAAACTTCTTTTAGGAAATATCTTATGGACAATTGCTTGTTCCATCTAGGCAATTTCAAAAAGATAAAAAATCACATTTTAGCGAAAACGAGGCAATAGAACTTGTATCTAACAAGCATCCTATAGTTTCAAGGTATTTACTGTAAAATAAATATTTTTTTATACTATTAATAATATTTTATTTCAGCTACGTAAGTAGATAAATTTCATAACATTTTATTGTTTAACATTTTCGCAAATATTAATGTTATTATTACATTTCCTTAACATCTTCATTCCTTTCATTAATACATCTGTATAAAAATGCACCAATTTTTTTTTAAATTTTTAACAGAAGTTTTTGAACATATTTTTTCAGGACAAAAACTATTACATGGAATGTGGATCACTCAAAATGGTAAAAAATATAATAATTTGGTAGTAGGAAAAAGTTTTGAATTTGTGTTATATTTAAATTTATTAAATAAATATTATGCATTGAAATTATAATACAAGATTTTCCAAACAGGTTATACAATTCGGAAATTGTAGATTTTCAAAGTTAAAATAAATCGGAAAGTCCATTTTAGCAAATTCACCATTTTATAATCCGCGGTTCTATCTCGAGAATGAAATTGCAAATTGTAAAATGAAACGGCACTTTGGATTTGTTTTATATAGAAAATGTACAGTTTTCAAATTATACAATCTTCCTTGGAATACTTTGTATATAAACTTTTCTATATTTTAATGTATAAAGTACCGAACATGGTACGCTTCTCTCGAGAAAATGGCATTACAGGAGAAGCATAAATCCTGAAAACCTTAATTTTGACGATATTAATATTAAAAGTGATTTAGAAAAAAAATAAAATTTGGTACATACATTGTCGTTCTCTTGGGATCGCTTTGGCGGAGGTGTGGTAGTCCGGGAACTTCCGGGGAGGACCGGAAATTTGAGAATCCAAGGGGGCCTATGGCGAAGACCATGATCCCCGGAACCCTAGAACCCTCATCTCTTTAGAGAAACCTACCATGCTCGTTGCTATATAGTTAATTACAAAGTCAATTTGAAACAGACGTAATTATTATTTAGGAAATAGATTTAAATATGAATAATGCACAACTGGAGTAAATGCAATATCTTTAATTAAAATATAAATTGTTTAACGTGAAAATAGTATACAAATGATATAAGTAAGATATGTTTGGAATATTACCTATTCTCATTCATATACATACATTATCATTTGCATTTTCATTAATAGACCTTCATATGCATTATATAACGTGTGCAACTTTCATCCCCGTTAGAATTCACGTAATGTTAGAAAACTTAAAATAAAGTAAATATGCTTATTACGTATAATCTTAAAGTAATTTTTTGTTACTCAGTATAATCTTTTTGTAGGTGTTTGTCTTATGATACAGCCACTCATCGGGCTCAGCATTTAACACCTGAATCTCCGCCGTTGTCCTTTAATGCGGATTCTAAAGGTATATTTGTATGATAATGAATTAGGAACAGTGCATACAGTAGTATTAATAAAGCATTTCTAAATTAGTCATGGGGGGTATTAATACAACGGTAATGTTAATTAACTTCACCTTAATTGTAGTTTATGACTGGGATGAACAGTCACTGCAATATAATCCCAATTTGTTAGATGATCCAGAACTTATCGCTGGGAAGCATAGGACATTACTTACATTTACATCATACATGGTACTTATCTTTCTAAATGAAATAGTGTAATAATTATTTAATAACTGATGATTACTGAAGTATTTCTTCATACAGGCATCAGTTATCGATTATGTCCGGCCATCTGACTTGAAAAAGGAATTGAATGATAAATTTAAAGAGAAGTTTCCACACATTCAACTCACTTTAAGCAAACTGAGAAGGTCAGTATTTATAACTATGATAATATTTATAAGCACGTGATATTATGTATAAAAAATTTAGTAATGTTACGATATTGTACATAGTTTAAAACGAGAAATGAGAAAAATTGCAAAAATGGAATATGGTGTTGACCTTTTGACAGTAGCAATGGCTTACGTATATTTTGAGAAACTTATTCTCCGAAACGTTGTCACCAAACAGACTCGGAAATTATGTGCTGGTGCATGCTTGCTACTTGCAGCAAAATTGAATGATGTTAAGGGTGATGTTTTGAAATCACTGATCGAGGTATTTATTTAATATAAGAATTATTTTTTTTTATAATTAAATGTTAAATGTGAAACAGTTTTGGGTTAAATAATTTTTCAATAAATTCCAGAGAATTGAAAGTGTATTTAGGCTAAATCGCAAGGATTTAATCACATCCGAGTTTGCTGTTTTGGTGGCGTTAGAGTTCGGTTTACATCTTCCAACATGGGAAATATTTCCGCATTATCAAAGATTGATATATGAATCTTGACCTCCTTTTGCAATGTTTTGTTTTAGATAAATATAAAATTTTCTTTGCAAGGTCGACACTTTCAAACTCTTATGAAAGAGTATAATGCCTAAAGTGGTTTTTTTTAATACGAGAAACGTATAAAGAAAGAAATGGATTTGAAAATGAGCAGATACGATGCAATTACGAGAAAGATCATTATTTTATAATAAGGTGAAATATATCAATAACAGTTACAAGCATTTTTATAAGTAAGGAGTGTACGAAAAAAAAGATATCAACAGTTTCTTTATATGCGACTTAAGCTCTTGTACTTACCACGATAAAATCGTTCAACAATTTGTAAATTTGTAACTGACTTTATTTTCTATAATATTTATGATAGTATTTAAAGTAATTATACAAATAGTAACAATTGGTAAATTACATGTTATATTCGTATAAAAATATTACAGACCAGGATGGATACCTTTAACATGTTTTAGGAAATTAAATATGTTTAAATGTTTCATTTATAGTACTTATTCAATTATTAATTTCATTTTTATTTTTTAAATGTGATTATAGAATTGCATATATATGTATATACATAGTACTTATTATAACCGATAATTCTCTTTTAACGATACAGTGACATATACAAAAGTATAGTGTTAATTATACTTAACAGCTTAGATCATTTGAAGCAGCTGTTAAGAAAAAGCAGATATAAACATTGAAGGTAATACTGATTCTTTAAATTGTACGTAAAATAGTCGAAAAGATCACATAAAAGTGCTTTTTACAAATTCCACGATAACTAAAATTAATAAAAAATTTTTCAAAACTTTAACTTTGATGTCGGTCATAGAAATTAGAAAAAGCTTCATGTTCTGGAAAAGAAATTGTATTGCGCTCGTAAAAATCATATTATCGAAAAGAAATATTTTAATATTTTAATGTCTTATTTTAAACCATTTTTAATTTAAAATAGATATTTTTATATTTTTCATAAGTATTTGTTGATCGTATTAATGCTTATGAAAAATTGTAGATTATGGACAAAAATTTATAAATTTTAAGTATAAACAAAATTTATAGAGCAAAATAATTATTGATTAATTTATTTCTTTAATTGTTTAAATGGCATTTCAAATGTCTTCTTTTAATTTTATTTTTGATTACTTAATAAAAATAGGAAACGTTGAACACAAATTAAATAACTGATATATAAATAATTGATACGAAGTTTTTAAGTTTTTTAAATTTTAATAGAAAGTAGGAACATATTTTAACTTTTTAAGTGTTGATTGATCCAATTATTTTCTTTTTATCTAGTCACAACAAATTTATAGTTCATCTCAGTTACTTAATTTTTCGCATTAAAAGAACAAAAATTATCACAGAATCATTGCTTGATACAAGTGTCTAAAGTACCATTTTGTTTCTTTTTCTTCCTTTTCGAACAAATTATCCAAAATGAAAAAGTTACAATCACTTTTCCAAACTGTTTATATAAATGTAGAAACGTTTCTTATAGCACTTTAAATATATCATTGTATCTACGGTTAAATGGTAAAAGGACTGAAATGTTAAGTACATGTACCTATTAATGAAAAGAACTACATATGGTGTTTAAAAAAACTAATTAAAAATGATTACAAACTCTATTACTCGATGAAAAAACAACGGAAATCATATTGTAAATTATTAGATAATTGTACAATGTATGTTAATGTCCTTAAGTATTCCTTGATATCCAAAGTAATACGCAGAATGGTGCTATATTTCTTGGCATAATTGTCATAATCGTACTTACGTAATAGATAGTACGGATGAATTTATTGCTAAAAATTGTGTTTATATAGATTTGTTAATAGTGGTTATTTCGTCTATTTTAATTGTATAGTATCGAGCAAAGTAGGCCTCTCTGTGGAAGTCTCCCCTCGCCCCATATGTTCCCTCAAACTCAGAACCCTCTATATATAGGTCTGGGACTCCCCACCACTTCAATATTAATATTGTCAACATTAAGATTTTGAGGATTCCTGCTTTTCCTGTAACGACCATTTTCCATAGAGAATTGTACTTTGTTCTATATTGTACAAAAAGTACTTATAAAAAACGCACTATGAATTTTTAGTACTATCAGATATACGGTTTACAGACAAAAATTTTACTGGAATCAGTTTTGAAAAATTTTATTTACAATTTATGTTTTACAAAATTGTATTACCTTCAAATAACTCAAGTACTTACATGTCTTCTAAAATTCATGTATAGAAATCGTGTTTTTATATTAATCCCAAGGCCTATGTTATTGTGTTATATTTCCAAACGAATTATAATAGAGATACACGTTTGTTTTATTATTATATAGAAAAAGTTTTAATTTAATATTCCATTTAATTTTTTTCAGTTGAATAATTTACATTGAGTTATATTTTTTTATTGTTATTAATCATTGTAATATTGATTGTAATATAAAAGAATAGCATTGAAAATGAGAATAAGTCTCGGAACGTATTGTTCTTTGTTTTCTACGTGTAAAAGGGATTTTATTGTATAATTTCAAATTTGTTATTTATCATACAACTGATACAGGTTTGCACTTAAAGAAATTTTTTTTTTAGTTTACATAATATGCAATTAAGTAACTACAACAATAATAATTATAATGTTTAACTCAAACGTGTACATATCTCACACCTCAGAAACTTCTTGCGTGCATCCTATATTAATTATATGATTAAATCTTTTTATCAATTATTATATGTGATAGGCAGTGCCAGCAGTATAGAGTGAGTTTCAATTACATTGTAAAGTTTCCTCTGTAACTATAGACCAAGTTAAACAACACTGTACGTTAATGTTATTATTGTTTGTTTAAGGTGTATTTGTGCAAAAAATATTAAATACGTAATAATTAGTTATAAAAATATTTTATAGTATTTAACACGTTGAATGTCAGTAAATGGTACTAAAATGATTCCATCACTCAGATATGGCAATGTTTTTACTAATATAATTAGCAGGATAAACATCACGAAAGTGTTTAATTACAGTCGTTCTGTATGATATTTTTCGAAATAATTTATACAAAATTATGGCGTTTCAGTACAGATTTTAATTTTTTTTTATCTTTTCAATTTAATTGGAGAAATTGAACCTTGTAAGTAATTTTTAATTTATGCTAGCATTCAACGTGTTAGTACATATGCTGTATCGATTAATTATTATCATCATGTAATCTTTGTACATTATAATTGTGATTTGCGTTTGTATTCAGATTTTCGATCAATTTTCAATGTTTGTAAAAACGTTACCGGCAGGGATATGAATCTAAAATCTGGCTTTATACATTTCACAAAATTTTTACTATTATCAGTAACATTATATTCTAACTGTGCACGGCCACCAAACGTGTTAAAAGTAGATTGGTATCCTTGTCTGTAACGCGATAAGACAGCGAATGTGATTTACAAATACGAACCAATATTATTAGTGAAAGTACTAGTAATTAGATGATAGATGTATATAATACGTATTTATACTATAATTTCGCAGTCAAAGTAGATTAATTTTATGTTTTTCTTTTATTTCTCTTAGATTACACTTGCAATGTTTGTCAGAATTAATTTCTAGTTGGTGCCATAACAGATTAATTGTATATATTTTATTCAATCATTTATAGATAGTAGCGAAATTATGATTTAGTTCGTACTAATTCTTAAAAGTGTTCATTTTTTCTTTTCTGTTCAAGTTGTTTTCCCCTTTTACGTTAAGCAGCTCTGATTAATATTACGGAAGAGACTTAAGGTGTTGTACAAAATAGTTCACGTTCGAACATGTGATTTTAGTCGTATTGAGTCGGTGAAGAAGTAAGATATTCAGGGTAATTCGATCAGTGATCGCCAAAGGATTGAACCGTTGATTGTATCGTTTAATATTTTTAAGTCGAATCTCTTACAATTCTTCGAAATGGGTTTAGTCTGCTATAATTGTCAACTTCCATGTATATGTATATACACACGAACACACATAAAAAATATGTACACGGTACTTACGTATATACTATGTACAGTGTATTCAGTTACAGCTGGGCATCCTTTGAGGGGATGGTAACTGAGGTGATTCTGAACAAATTTTCCCTTTACCAAATTGCTCGTTAAAGCTTAATTTTCGAATTATTAATAAAAAAAGTCATAACCAGCCGTAAGAGTGTCGGCTACGAACCGACTTTGACGCCCTGCCAAGTAATTTGTTCAGGGCCTCGGTTGAATTCGGTTCGTAACCAACACTCCTGTGATTGATTGAGAGTCTGCGCGCTCTGATTACACGGTGTTTTTCATTAATTCAAAAGCTAAAATAATTCAACTACCACCCCCTTAAAAGACGCCCACCCATAGCTGAACACCCTGTACGTACACCTATGTGTTTATGTACGTGTGAACATGTAGGGTACGTATATAGTTGTACATACGAGGCAGCATTAAGACTGAAAACTTCAAGGTGTTAGTTTTCAGTTTTCTCCTTTGATATATTAGTCGTTAGAGAAATGCGAATGGATATATATAGAAGAGAACGGACTTTGATACGACACATTTATAATGGCGATTTGATAGAAGATGAATTAAGATTCGATGAAAGGATCGATGAAAAAAACTATCTGCTCACAAGAGATTTATATGTAGCTACGTAAAGTAGTTATCTTCGTTATCACGTATAAAGTAGTTATCACGTTATGTGATATCGTCTTTACTGGTGTAACTATAAGATATTCGTAACTTACGTTCAGTTCGTATAGTCGCGAACGAGCATCTTCAATGTGCTACTTCAGTGTGCTTTAGAAGATCTCCTGTAGCTTTTTCGAAAAACCGATGAATTTTAGTTGCCTGCGAATTCAACATAGTCGTTTTTGTAATTTAACATCGTGATCGAAACTGTTCATTTGTAAATTCTTTCAGTGACTGCTTGGTAAATGAGATTCAGCTTAAACGCTTTTATTTTTCAGTTAAAATTGCAAATATCGAATGTTGAATTTATTGAAAATATTTAGTTCATATGTCGATCGTGTATCACATACAAAACACGTTTGGCAGGCATTGAAAGAGTTCACAGAAATAAAGTTGGAGTTATATGCACTCACGTACGATAGTCTGTCAATTACAAAATATTTTTTCTTGTAATATAAAATAGTGTTTTAGCGCGTTGTGAACAGCGATCAATAGTTTGTGTACGAATCGTTTTCATACTGAACGTTTCGTTATGTTACTTGCCCCTTTATAGAAAGAAGTGGAGAAACAATGTATAAATAAAAATAAATTGTGAAATCAACTATTTGAGGTGTATATTAAAATTTCCATAAAATGAATTTTCAGAAACAAATATATAGTTGAATTTAAATTTTATTTTGCTTCAGGCATTAAATTCTAATGTTTCATAAAAATGTTAGATTATTACGTTTCGATTTTATCAAATTTGTCATCCTTTTATCTCCGAGGATATCCGAAAGATGTTAACAACCGTGTAACATGTGTTTCACAAGAACTTCGAATCACCAAATATGAAATCATCATACATCAAATAAACTGTCAGATAAAATGTAACTGTCAGTTGAAGTGGTTAAAGGGTATTGTTATTTCAGGACAGATGGGAATAAACATGTTCGAGACACGAATTTTCTGTTTTTCAGGATACGGACAGATAACGCATCGTGCCGTGAACGTGGCACACGAATGCGACGAAACAGCTGCGATACTTTGCCCGAGACTATTGAAACAAATAGTTTTATCGCTGATTTTTTATTCATTGAACAAGCTTCTACTAGTTCCTTGAAAATCCTGATTTTAATATTGATATTACATAATTTAATACGTTTGGTATATGATCATTCATTTTAGGCTGCAAAGTAATACTAAAAAGTAAAAAATATTTTCAATAATTCGTTGACACAAGAGGACAAGAAATTAAAAAAAAAAGTCCATCAGGAATGCGTCAGCGTCAACAAGAGGAAAGTAAATTTCTTCGCGATCACGTAAAGAACATAAAGTGACGCTTCCGGATGGATTTTCGCGCGTGGGCATCCTCTTTGATCTGCACACTTTCCGCTCGCGTGTTCGCGCGCTTCTTTTGTCATAAGCCGACTGCGATTTACGATACCTTTTGCCGAGACAATAGCTTGCTGCTTCTAGAATCTAAATGACAGATTAATTCAAGTGTATATTAAAAAATTACATACACTACTCTGAATAAGTATTGGGACATTTCACATTATTAGAAACGCGCGAGTGTTTAATGCTCATCGCTGAATGGTTTGTCAAGGATTTGGCTATAACAAATAAATAAATAATAGTGAAACGATCGAACAAGACTTCCGTTCTAGTGGCACAAACATTCGCAGTAGAGTGGCCACTCGAAAACGAAAGTCCTCGTTTTCGTCCTTTAACGCCATAAGAGAGACAGTCTACTTACATATCCTTGCTTCTGTTTATCCTTTCCTCTAAAGACTTCTGCAGTAGGAGATCTTGTACAGAAAGTACATACTTCAACACGATGTTCTTCGTATTCTGTGATTTGTAGCAAGAAAACGGAAGTTCAATTGTTAGGAAACAAAACAGGACATTTATAACATTATTTCTTATATTTACTTTAATATTTTTAATATTGTTACTTTTATCATTATTTGTATTGTTAATTTTTCTATAAATTATATGAAAGGTACGTGATTTATATAATATTGCAATAAAGAAATAAACAATTTTAATCTTTACAAATTTTTAAGTTTTAACCCAATACTAATTTTCTTGAAAATTCTGGTTTATTTGAAACTTTTAAATGACGACTTCAATTTGTTTTAATGTTACAAATAAATTACAGAAATGAAACACGTACAATTCGGAGATAGGCTTAACATGAATTATGATTTTACTTCTTCCCCCGTAATTCAAGCCGTCTCGGAAAGTAATCATCGTGTTATTATGGGGCGCATAACTGTCGCGTGCGACGGACAGGAAGTGAGCCGTAAAACCTATTTGTCGGCTTCTCCTTACCCACTTTTCCCCTTAACAGTACCTCTTTTCTTTGTTGAAAGCTTTCAACGCTTAAGTTCAGCTCGGATTACGCACGTTTCCATAGCTTTGCGTAAAAATCTCTATCGTGACGAAGGATGACAGTAATTAACAGGAATAAAATTAATTATTAACCATAATCGACTTTTCTGCTAAAATTTTTAATTGTATTTAACCGTTTTGTTAATAAAATTTTAAATTAATGTCAGAAGAAAAATGAAAAATTCAGTGTCAGTTCAATGCAATGGTTTACTAATCATTTGTAACCCTTCCTTATTAGGTTAATAACGCTTGACACCTAATTAGGTACTTAGGATTAGAAGGGAAACGAAGAATAGTCTTAATAGTTTGTCTAATTGTTAGGGATAAATGGTCAGACACTGAAGGACGTAAAATTCTTTGAGACCACCCATTGATGAAACTTGAAACTGATCCTGCCAGCAGGCGTGAGCCTTTATTGTTAGAAAGGGATTATAGCATTTTCTACGATAAATACTATGGTTTATCTAATTCTTCGGATGCTGTGTACCTATATTACAGTTCAAATCGAATTAGTTCTACCGAACTTAGAATTCAATATATCTAACAACAAATATCCATTTTCACTGCAGCAGTTAACATGGATAATATAACTTTCATGGATGATCGTCCATGAAAGTTACATATATTTTTATCGTCGTATGGATACCTTGGCGAAAGGTCGTTAAATAAATCATACGTTTATCTTTACAGAAGAAAGGAAGGGGAAAACACGTGTGTATGTATCCTTGGGTGTGCAAGAAAACATTTGGCTGGTAGGTAAACTGTAGATTCCGCCAGATTTGGAATTCTGCCCTTTCCCAAAAACAGCTGTACTTCTTTACGAAAGTGTTTCCTGGCTTTCTTTATTGGAAACATTTTCATCGGTTTAAACACTATATACTTTACTACTCTTTCTGGACATTTCCTGGGAATTCATATTTAAAGTACCACTTACAATTAGTCTATTTATCACTTTACCTAAATATAATCATTTTCGAAACACAATTTTTAAAAAATTCTTATTTTTAATGTTAAAGAATTCAATGCCAATATTTGCAGGTGAAAAAACAAAAATGGTACTTAAAATGTTAGCGATGACAGCGGTCAACAGTGCGGTCTAGTATGAAATGACTTCAAATTAAAAAAAAAATAAGCTTAATTAAATATATTATTTGTTGAGAAAAAAAAATTAAAAATGGTTAGTATAAATAAATGATAAATTTCTGCAAGCTTCCAGTTAGTGGTTCAATTTTGCTCCTCCCTACTAATAAAGATTACTGCGCAATTGAAGCGGTGATGCTGAAACGATGAGGATGACACGATCGAGAGACACTACAATACTGCCATAAAGCAATACAATACAGGTAGCCAAAGCCGTCAGGTAAAGTGCGCACGCTTTTGTTGTGGGTATCGCTTACAGTTAATCCACAATCCGGAACCCACTACAATGGTGGCATGACCGGCGTAGTAGGCGGCGAGGGGACGCTTTCTTATGCTGGAAAAAAAGAAGAAGCGACGACAGAAGCGGTGCCTACGAGAAAAAAGGGAATAAGGGAGCGAGAAAAGCGTAGATTTGTATCTCGCGGCGCTGCGTTTCGTTCCGTTCCTCTTTGACCGCCGACGTACCACGGACGAGGATTCTTGATTTTATCTTCTCGCCTCGTCTCGTCGCAAGACTCGAGAACAAACAATTAACGACCGCCCGCTCGCCGGATTCCGTAATTTATGGTGACGATTCGTTCGCTTTTGTAAGTACCTAACGCTTTGCATCCTCGCTTAATGCGATCGTGTGCCAGAGTCAAATGGCTCGATCACCACAAATCCGAGCCTTTTATGAATTACGTCAGATCGTTTAATGTTACGAGCATTGGCGTAAATAGAATTTTTGTCTGGCTTGGGCTGGGTTGCCTAGTTTTATTAAAAATATCAAATATTTAATTTTTTTCATTTAGTTAAGTATCTACAGCTTAGTTTCATTGCATATTGCATTTCTGTTCAAATATTTATTTATATCGTGATAAAATTTTAATTAGCTGACAAATATGTTTTCATTCATTTTACGCTAACGCGAATAGTTCTTTCTATTTTTTATATCTAACATAATTTTGAAAAAACTGGAAAGTGGTTTTATCTAAAAATTAATGAACAATTATTTTTTTTATGTATGTTTTAACTTTAATTTTTATAAAGGAAAATCATTTTCAAGTATGAAACACGTTTTACTTGATCGTGTTTAATATTCATCAGGATTAACTCGTTTTTGTCCACGTTCCGTTTATCACTTGCATCAGGATGCAAGTGCATCACGCGTGTTTCGATTGTCTACTCATAGGGAAGTTAGAATTGCATCGACCAATAGGATCAGCGTGGGCGCGGCGCTAGAGAGGTGGGGAGAGAGCATCAGCCAATAGGGGAGTTAGCCGTTGAGTGCAGCGATGGATCGTTGCAACGGAGTGTCGTCTTTGCAATTCCGAAACGCATCCTCAGTCGTCATTAGGCTTTAATGCGGACAGCGTCAAACGTGGCAAGTTTTCTTCCGTATTTCTGTGCACGTTTCAGCAAAATTAGTTAAGTGATATATAGAGTGCCTTTTTTGGAAGATGAATTCGATTATGGCGATGCCCACAGAATTGCAATTGCAACTGCATCAACAGATGCTCTTCCGGCAACAACAACTCGTTCTTCGCAGACACAGACCAGGTTAATATTATATTTTTTCCTTGCTTATTGTTTTGACATTAACCCTTAAGTATTATGGTTGGGACAGATTTGACTGCCAAAATTAAATCTCTAATTTTTTTATTCAAAAATTATTCAAGAAATACTTTAATAAACTTCAACATCTTCTGTCAAGTTATAATTTATAAGTCACGATAGTTAAAGATTAATAGTGATATAAATTAAGCTTTTACTTTTCGAGAATTTAATATTTTGAAAATTATTTTTAATTACTACCAATGTAATTATCAGATAATTACTAAAAATCAAAGGGATGCAATGTTGTAAATAACAAAGAAGTCACTTGCATCCCTTTGATTCTAAGTGCCTCATATATTTATATCAGCTACTGTGATCGTTAACTTAATGAAACCAAACTAGTAAATTATAAAATCATAACTCCTTCGTTTTATCGTCTTCGATCTCAACGCGAATCTCAATTCACCCAATTAAAGTCACATGGAGCGCAATGAAGAAACCGCGTAAAGATCTGAATCGTTCACCTACCGTAAATATTTTCAACTTTTCTTCTTTCCCACGAGTCGAAGGGAGGATGTCCTGGGAGAGGGTGCATATAATACGCGACAAGTTGCCGCGTAGGCGACATAGATCCGCGCGAACATCTCTCGTTCTAAGATGAAAGGCGCCGACTTTCGGTCGAGCGGACAATCGTTATCTGCTCCTATACAACAGTTCGGTACCGCCGTCCTCTCGGCAGGAAGAGAAAGAAGATGAGCCGATGGCCGCAATTATCCTGGCCCTAGACCTAATGCTCCGACCGCAGAACCGCGAGACAAGTGCAGAGCGAATCGGTCATGCGAGCAAGCGACGCCGTTTCTATAGATCCACTTGTAAAAGGTGTTCTTCCTGGCATTCGTGTTACCTCATCCGCACAATTTCTTGTCCCTCTTTAGCGAGTCCGGCAGCGGCTAGCTGGATGAGGAGAAAAGATTAAAGATGCGGAAGGAGATGACAATCTTTTTTTCCTTACTGTTTTTTGCTTTGCGAAAGTGTGATTGTTTCTTGGTTCGCCCATAATTGTTTTTTTTTTTTTTTTTTTAATGGTAATTATGTTCTCTATAATTTTAGGGTAGTTTCGATTAGACTGAAAGCAACTTCTATTTTATTCCAATGGTGCACTGTATTTTATTTTCTTGATTTGCAGAAGATATACCGCATCCAAATGCATGGCCCATACCACGCTTTGGTGGAGGACCTCCTCTGCCTCCCGAAGTAAAGGTTGAATTAGAAAATCGAGAATTGTGGCAACAGTTCCATGCGGAGACCACGGAAATGGTAATCACGAAGGTGGGCCGGTGAGTGCATAATTTATTTTCATTTTTCATAATTTCATGAGTTCGTTTTAAATAAGTATGTAAAGCCGATAGAATAATTCAGCAATAATTTATTATAAAAAAGGAAGCAAGGTTCATGTCTTAGATTAATCGTCAATTAGATTTTCGAAAATTACATTAACATTCTTTCTTACATCTATTGTTACTTTCTTGAAAGAACGTTGCTGAAATTCATTGCCTTGAATTCCATCAGGGGTGAAACGGCCTGACAGGCGCCATAAGGCCACACCCTCTGTCGCTGTCGAAACCCTTAGACCACCTGAAAAATGTGACCTGTTTTAGAATTGTCTTTTCACCTACTAACAAACTTTTATCTTTCATTCTTAACACGTCGAGTGCCGTGCCAAATTTACACTTCCATTACTTGTATACTTCATTCGTTATCGCAATTTTTAAATAATATCAACACTTTGTATAAATAAAGAACTTTTCACCACCTTTTTCACTTATAGATATCTACTGCCAAATAAATTCAAAGTTTCATTTTTTATCCTTTGATACTTACAATTAGAATCGCACAGACTTGCGCTCCTACAGAATATCATACATCTACTTTTGTATAGTCATTCCATAAGAAACGTAAACGTTTCGTGTAATGTGCATAGTTGCACGTCATCCAAGTAGGCATGTAGATGCTTTTAACGAGGGGATACTTTCGAGCGACGACAGGGCGATTAGTTTCACGGAAGGTGGTCGAGGAAGGTCATAAAAGTAAGGTCGTGACGACGTGTCCGGTATTATCGATGCCACCGATCTTCGAATCATTTTACGAAGGTAGATTTTGCGGGAAAAGTCGTATAGGCCGGACGGATGCAGGACGAATCACGACATCCGGCGGCTGTTCACCGGAAACGATTGAGCTACCGGTCACTCCTTTTCAGATACGCGGCCGTAACTATCTTAGATAAGATTACTAGGAATTTCGCGCTGTCTCGCGCTAGATAACTCGCTGATGTCAGGCAGATGCTTTCGTACCGTTCTGAACACGGAAATAAAAGGGGAGGGAAACGCCAACGTAACAAGAATGTGTAACATTCTTCAAATGTTTCGTAATATCCGTTCGTTTGAAACGAATCGTACATTCATGCGATATGAGATTAAAGCACAATTTTAACTAGATAGGAAAATAGAAAATTAGAAAATTAGGAAATTAGTTGCATCGCAGAACAAATATATACATATAATTACTTTTACTTATTGTTTTAGGATTTTCTTGATAAATAAATAAAATACGTAACATTTATTTTTATATAATTGTAAAATACTTCACACTTAACGAATGCAACTGACTTAAAATCCTTTGCACATGTACCAAGAAATGTATCACGTTGCAAAAGATCCGTTTCTTGTCTCTTCGAGAGACACAAACCAGGATACCAAAATAAATTGCAAAAACCTTGACTGGACACTGGCGATTCGTGGGCGGTGCACACTTTACAATAGTTACAAAGGTATTCGGTCGTCCGTGTATCCGTGCCTTCCGGTTCGCTGACGACTCTTCCCTTCTGAGAGCACCACGTGCCAACCACGTGCACTCAGTTCCAGGCCTTACGTGAACCAATCAGTATTCCGTGACACGATCGACCCGTTCGTTTTCCTCGATCCTTTTAGCGAGTTTCGTTCCTTCGATCAGTATTCTCCCCTTTTTACCCCCCATGTCCTTGCGTCAGAGCCGACGAACAGACACGAAGAGAAAAACGTGCACTCCAGAAGTGCAACACCGACCTTGTCTCATCCTTCCTTTTTCTTCCGTTAGAAGGGACTCCTTCTAAGCGAGGATAATTAATTTCACGTTTCGTCGTGATTCGCCTAATGCCAATCTGCTTCGAGCTACTTTACGGTTTCGTGAGTTTACGGTAGTCTTAGTTGGGATTTGAGCAAAAATAAAAGCGCAGCTAATTTTTGTAATCTTTAGTCTACAGTGGACGCTCGATAATTTTCTGCTTTCGAATTTTTAGAAGTGGATCTTTTTGAAAAACGAGTGCATCCTTTATAGATGAAATTATCAGTGTCTTTGAGAGAAAAAGAAAAACAGCCATCGTTAAAAATACATTTATAAATCGAGCTGTTAGAATTCAGATTCAAAGCGTCTACAACAAAGTTCAGCAACGCCACGCGACTTTTGATTCATCTAATCTGCGAGATGAAAGGAAAACTGGCAGCGCGTGCTGCCGTTGCACGCGTTATATCGTGCTATTACGGTATTATCTGGCTGTTTGATAATCTCGAGAGGCTTTTTAAAAGGACCAGACGCTCGAATCATCGGCGCACGGGTCTTCCAGCAGCCGTCGCGACGGCGTAATCCTCCACTTAAAAAGGCGCCACTTTTAGTGGATTCAGCGACACGGTTTGTGGCGTCGAACGAATCCGGAGAATCGCTTTCTGCAACTTGCATATAAAGCTAACTACTATAATTCTGATATTCCCAGATTGAGTAAGATTTAAGGATTAAGGATATTTGACGCGCTTGGAAATACCGATGACTCTTTCATTCGAACGTTATGTCATTGATTGCGTATAATATACGCATCACTGGCGATTTAATACTGGGTTGTACAATTTGGATGAAATTCTTGGTAAGATTACGGTTTTAGATAGTGATTAAGAGAAAATAGTGTACGTGCTCTTTTGTGAGGCTCAAAGTGTGTTTCGAGGAATCGAGCATAAGTTCCAGAGTGCACTTTGAGGATATAGATTGGACTTTCCGTCGTTAATTGCGTCCATTACTTAAGATAGATATCTTCTGCGGATTAACTTTTAAATACTAAATCAGGTACCACTGTAGTCGAAGGTTTAAATACGAACCCTTTGCGGATTTAACTTCTAAGTACTTCTATCGAACTTTGCAATGCAAAGTGCGTACGTTATATGTACTTATTAGATGCGTATAAGGAAAACAAATTCTTTTTTTCGTTTTTCTCTAACTGAATTTTACCGGAAGCGGGTAAAAGACACATGGAACAAAGTGGCGTTGGAAAGTCCGCAATTAGGTATGCAAACAGGGCCGACCCATCGCAGATTGACTTCTAGAGGTTTACTCACGGGATTATCCGCGAGTTTGAAATGTTTACCCGAGGGGGAAAACTTGCTGTCAAGATCGAAAGATAGCAGTTGCGATGCCTCGAAAGAGTCGCAGGAGTTAACAGGGAGTTTGAGTCCTTTCGGCGACGCCCATTCGTCGGCAGCACCTTAATGACTGGGGAATTTTCTGTCCCTTCGTCTTCGTACGGTTTGCTTATGCTACCTGTGCAAAAAGCACACTTGACTTCTCCTGAATGACAACAAAAACTTAAAAGGGCATGTGAAAATTTTCGATTTTGTTTAATTTTCACATATCTACGTAAAGAAGTTACACTTTCTGATAAATTTATGATGTTAATAAGATGATTCTAATATTTCTCGTTAAATTTCACTGTCTATCTATACGCTGATCTTTAACCTACTGTTCTCATCATTTCTCGATTTATCATGACCACGTAATCTATTCTTTGTAAAAATGATCTGTCTCATTCTGAGCAAACATTACTATGATCTGTATTTCTATATATAATTATAAGTTCTCTGATATAATCGAAGACGACAGAATCTTTCGAATGTTTCAGAAGATTAGATAGCATTCGTCATTTCACAGTTGAATTAATATTTCTATTATGTTCAATTCAGATCTGCAATAAAATTATTTAACCAAAGTTGTTATTATTTTGTTACAGACGGATGTTCCCGTCGATTCAGCTGACTATCACAGGATTAGAGCGTCGTGCTCGTTATTGCGTCCTCATTGAAGTGGAGCCGGCGTCGAATCGTCGACACAAGTATGTTGGTGGCGGTGTCGAGAAAGCCTGTGGGAACGCAAGAGGATGGACATCAGCTGGTCCAGCCGAACCTCAACCACGAATTGATCGAAGGATTTACCTGCATCCGGAAAGCCCTGCCACCGGTGCACACTGGATGCAACATCCTCTTAGTTTCCATAAACTCAAGTTGACTAACAATGCTGTGGATCCTAGAACTAACGTGAGTAATCATTATTATTTAACAAGAATTATTTACTTCGTACCTAACAAGAAAAGTACAAGACCATCAGAGTTCGACCTGAAATAAAAATAAATATTTTCAAGTTGGATTATAATTGAACAAATATTCATTTAATTACGTAGTATTCAGTTATTTCAAATGTCAATCGTTTTTGAGAAGGAGAAACGTGTTACGAAAAGGCTTGACAGATATTCGGAAAAGGAAGTGACCGATTTACTAGAAGCGGTAGCGGCGCGGCATTCCATTTATCTAGATATCCCGTGTTTGGACAAGCCAGCGTGTCCTTAAATGCCTCTTCTTTTTCCTTGTGTCTCTGGTTTCGACGTTTCTCCAAGCTTGGGCCGTATGCGGGAGGTCGCCACACACGGATCTACCCTCTTTAACTACTCGTTTCACTTCCGATTAGGTTCTACGAAAAAAAAGTGAACCTCCAGTTGGAGACTCCCAACGATACTTCGTCTTGTGTCAATTAGCTCCTGATTTTCTTCTCACGAATGATTCTGTTAATTCTCTGATTCTTTCTGTTTAAAAACCTAAATGTAATTCTGTTTAGCAGTGTATTTTTCTATTCGTCATTCGTCACTGTACAAATCATGTTCCATGAAATTCTATTAAACCGAAACCACATCGATGAAGCAATTCCTCAATTTCACTTTCTAACGTGAGTCACCAATATATCAGATCATAAACCCGACTAAAATAGTTTAGTATGGGGGCCTGTTAACTGGTCAAGGTGATCAAACTAAGAATCCCGTGTCCAGGAGCCGGGATTAAAATCTTGAAGGGAAAAGGTCGACACCGCGTGTACACTTTCCGTACCTTCCGGAGACTTAAGCTACTCAAAACGGTGCCGGGTAGGTCGGTCTCGGACGTTGTCCGTGAAGAACAGAGATTAACACGCTCCACAACACCCTGTAATCGATATACCCTCCCTTTCTCTCGGCTAGTGGGTTTATTTACGCCCTGACAGGAGGAATCCTGGCAGCTGGCTTCGTTGCGGCGCCCCTTGCCAGTTCTTTCATGTTTTTGCACGGAAACTTCCGAAATTACTTCTGCGGATTTGCCTCCTCCTGAGTACCTGAAGAACGCGCCACTGCATTTTCTCAAGTACGCGTGATTATTTAAACGAAACCCTCTGCTACATGTTCATTTCCCATATTGAAATTTCTGAGTAAAAATTGAGAAAATAATTTAAAAAATAGCGACACTTAATATCGTAATTCAATTTATCAACAAAATGAAAGAAATATAAGCATATTGTCTATGTTGTTATGTACCTAACTGTCAGAAACAACACGTCACAAGAGAAATTGTGCATCGGATGATGTAATCCAAGTTTTACTAAGGTCGTGGTTCACATAAGATTTTGAATAGGTCGACAGTGCGTGATTCCGGGAAGGTTGAAGGGCCAGTCTGGTTTTCGAGAATCGCGTCTGTCTCCAGCGTCGTCGGCATCCTTAGCGAGGCGCCAACTTATCTTGACGAAGCGGCGCCCTTTTACTCGATTCTTCAAACTAATTACGAATTTAATAAAATCCTCCCTGTTGTACTTCAACTGACGTAAAGAGAACATTACGCGGTGGAAAAAGAAGATATATTCGTTGGAATCTTTGTCACTTTGCTTATTCACATAAAAAATTATTCGATTCAACGTGAAATTCTTTTTTTGTGAATACAATTTAATAACGTTATTGATGTTTGTTTCTAGGTGGTCCTTACATCAATGCACAAATACATTCCTCGAATTTGGATCATTCGTTGTGATGATGTGACCAGATTGAGTGATTTGTACACCCATCCGTCTTCTTCCTTCCAATTCAACGAAACGGAATTTATTGCAGTGACTGCTTATCAGGTAAGCTTAATGATTACATTGAAATTATTTGTTTTATAAAGAGAAAGGCAATATTTCTTGTTTCCTATAAAATTTCTTTACATCCTTTTTTATATCTTTTTCAGAACGAGAATATCACGAAACTGAAGATCAATAATAATCCATTTGCGAAAGGTTTCCGGGAAACGGGTCAGTCGCGATGCAAGAGAAAATTTCAGCAAACAGATGGTGAAGGAACAAGCCGTATCGATGAAGAAGATGGAAATATGTCATCAGAATCTGAATCGAATAGGTCATCGCATTTGGACGTTGTTGCACAGAGACCAAAAACAGCATCTAGTGAGACAGGAAGTTTAGACGATAGTGGTGTCAGTAGTTGTGGAGGTATCAGTCCACCCTTACCTTCAATTCATCAGAATTCACCCTCCAGGGATGTTGATCGTGATACACAGCCAAGATTACACAGGCCATGGGTTGATTCGTCTTCAGAATTTTCATCTTCCTCGATGGCCTCTTCTTCGACGAGTTTATCGTCACCTTACAGTGATTTGAATTCGTATTACTTTCGCTTTCTTCATCCCTCCATCGCGATGCAATCAGATTTTATGAGGTTGCAATATCAATCAATAGTGAATTCGAAGTATCAATGGGAATGATTGTTGAGCATGATAATGACAATATAGGGGAAGGACCATAAATGAGACCATTACAGGAATGACCAAAGATTCTCTGCATTTACAAACAACGAGATTAGATTAAGTTATACCTTCAATTGAACTCTCTACGATATATTGAAGGCTCGTTCGAAAATATTTAAAAGGAAAAAAAGATTGCTATTTTGGAAAGAATTTACACTTCTGGTAGGTGTATAGGTTGTTTAGATAAATATCATCTTATGGAGTGTTTATATTTGAATATATAACTGTGAATAGTGAATGGAATACTAATAAAACTCCGTTGTAATTACTTTTATTTAGATTGTTGATATAGGACCAAAGATATGTATTCCAAATGATCAAAGCTATCCTTATTTCTTATGTTTCAATAGTATCAATGATATTCTTGTTCTATTATTATTTTTCCGTAGTTGAATTCTTTTAGTTTTAAGAAATTTCGTGATAAGATACGAAATAATGATCGAAAATTAATAATTAAGAAAGAGGTTTGAATGAAAGCAAGTGCCTAATACCGTAAATATTATTCGTGTGAATGTAAATAAGTACAATTTAGTGCCTTATAAAAGGAACCGATTAATGAACAACCATGTAATTATAATTAATGTAAGTATCATTGTTATTAAGGGTTCCTTATCGTGCTCCAAATATAAAGGATATACAGAAATAGTCTGACAGTATTATAAACGCTATAATATGAATGATGTAATTGTAAACATGTATTTTTGTATATTATATACATCTGTTTTTATTGATAAATTTACACACTCTGATCTTAACTCTCGAACGACGAAGCTGCGTTAATTGTGATCCAAATTTCCAAAACAACAGGGGTATCAGTTTTTAAACGAATGTGTTTCATACGCCGAAAAAAATAATATTTAAAGACAGTGTAAAATGTAAAATATGAAATTAAAATGAAAACCTAAATTGCTTGTGCGATCCGCCGTCAAAGGGTTAATACACCAAAATATTATTACCAACTGTACCGTTACTTAAGATACATAGTTTAAGGAAATTTTTCTACCGTGCGTTATCGTTGCAATAAATTGTCTTTTATACAAAAATTCAACATTTCATAAAATCATTCCCTTTTAAATATCTACAATATCCTCCTATTTCATTCTAAACAAATAATCGTCTTTTTAATTAAAAAAATTTCTATTACATCGAAGATAAGTAGCTTTGATGTTATATATATTACACGAGGAAAAACATTTTATAAATTAATATTCATAAAGATTAAGAAGGTTAACTCGTCAATTTGACACCAACAATATTAATGAACGTAAACCATACAGATTGACCAGGAATTCCCTGATTTACCAATTTAAATATTAAATTAAATCCTTTAACTAAAACTAGACGTCCTTGAAATGTGTACATTTCGAGGTTCAATCATATTCCTGGCCGGTTTCGCTCTATACGTCTGTATATAAATTTCTACTTATAATTAAATATGGAAATGATAAAAAATGATTGGTAATGATTTTCGAATATAACGTAAATGAATCTACAGTTTCCCATGCCGCTTGCGACAAAGTTCTATTGACAAAGGCTACAATATGGTGAAAACTAATTGCCAAATGCTTACAGGATCTTTCAAATTAGACATATGGTTTTCTGCAGTTGTTGGCTATTAGGCAAATTTTGAAAACCATGGTTCTTAAGAGGAAATATCTGTGGAGACACGAGTTCTTGTTGTAGAGCATGATGTCGCGTCTACGTGTCGCCTTTCCAAGGATCCCACCATCTTCTAGTATCGATGTCTCTCGAAACACTTTTGAATCAGCGGGGCGCCGGTTTGCCGGCTACTGTGCGATGTCTGGATTTGTCAATGAGCTTCCGTGTAACGATAGGCCCTCTTAATAACTTTTCTTTCAAGTTTCCAACTGAAATTGCTCATTGTAATACTCTAAACTGCGTGCAGACCGGCCGAATCTTAAGGGCGTCGAGAGCTTAGGATTGCAGTGAGACATCATAAAATACGAAAGCTACGAAAGTAGGGATTTGCCGGGGAAAATAAATCATTGTCTGACTTTGAAAGAGATATGAGTTATTGTTATAGTTGAAGTATCTTGTGAACTTTGGAAACAGAAGGCAAAGAAAATACGAAAATAGATCGCTCTTGATATGAAAATGATAAAAATGTAGATTTTCTGGGAAAATAAATCATTGTTCGATTTTTGAAGAGATGTGGATTACTATAATAACTCTCGTAATTAGAAGAATTTTTAATTTTGAAATTGCCATTTAGGAAACTTGCATTCGTACACTTTATAATAAAGAAGATTTATTTCGATTATCCTAAATATTATGTTACATATTATACAGAGCTATCTTACTTCAAATTATTATAGTGCATAATAGCTTTTGAATAATACAGTACATTATGACAGTGTATTAGTTGTAGCGCGTTGATATTAGTACTATTTAATCTAATCGGTTTTAATACGCATTTTGCTATAATAATACTATTTTTCAAATCTAGTAATAAACAGTATAAAAATAGTTCTAACTTAAAGCTGCATTTGCATCACAATCTCCAATCTTCCTTTATAAAATTTCAATCATTGAAAGTTTTTATTTCACAAATTACTATTTTCAATTCAAGTAAACGCCACTTGAATTAATAATCTAATACGATAAATTGTTTATTGCTCTAAGATAGAATTTTGTAGAAAAATATTAAAAATAGTCGCGAATTTACTTGCCAACCAGAAAGTTTACCCTACTGTGTTTCATCACGAAACCGCTTATCATTCCTTAACGTGCAAATCATTGCGATAACAGATTGCACAACGGCTCTCGGTGAAGAAAGATCGAAGAACAGTTGTCTGTTTGCTGGACATTGTCGTGAATATATTTGTCGAGGTTCAGTGGAACAGTTAACGGGATTGATTGGTCGATAGATCACGAACGCAAGATTTTTCCGGACGATGCGTACCGCTTTTGAATACGCAATCGCGTTCCGGAATTGAAACCGCGTGTTTCATTGTACCGTATGAAGATCCACTTATATCTGTACACCTGTTTTAATCGATTAGGTAACGAAGAAGAATTTCTTCGATCTAGACATTGTTCACACTCGTCCGTTCAGCAGATTACTTTGAGCAAATATCCTGTGTTACGTCTTATGATGACAAGTGGTTAAACCACTTTCCATTTGGCTACATGTGATGGGTCCTATGTGGTATGGCTAACTTAACGTTTAGATGGTTTCAAATTTCGCGGAATCTTTAATTCTTATTATTTTAACACGTTGAATGTCGTATGACTAATTACAAATTAGATATATTTAGCTATTGAGACTTCATGTTCTATAGGATACAACAAGAATTCTTGATAAATGGAAAAATGTTATTTGGAACAGTATTACTACTATTTTAATATTGTTGTCATTCAGTATCCCTATATAAATGACTGAATTTGTAAAAACTCAATAATTCATTAAGATTATCAGCTACTCTATTTACTGCTCACCAGAAGTTCCACAGATTCCTATACAGTCTTATACTCTATCATGGTACAAAAATATTCCACCTTCATAGCTCACCTCCTAGAATGTAACAGGTTTATTCTCCGGCACGCAGCATCTTTCATCCCCCCGTCCATTTCCATATTTAGGACAATAGGGTGGGTGTTTGCTGGTGAAGCAGAAAGAACCCCTGGTACCTAAAGGTGTGTGCTGTCCCATGGGTACATATTCACCGGCTCTGGGAGCGATTCTAGGCCCGGAAGGACATCTTCTAGAACAAGGCTCTGCCATAGGCTGTTTACCACCATTGTCGATACTCTGAGCCATGTAACAGACGACCCAGACGTGACTGCACAGCTGATAATTCTGTTTGTTTTCGCAGAAAGGCTGCACCTTGCCTCCGTTCACGCAAAAGTCAACGTGACCCATGCGTCCGCTCTCTCCATAATATCCGGCGTTCGTGTGAATCACCTCGACAAAGTCTGCATCCCCGCTGTCCAAACGATTCACGTAGCCTGGTCGCATCAATGGCCTGGCGGGATCTAAACCAATTATTCGGTGCATCCTGAATAATAGAAAGTTCGCCATGACGCCGCATATGTGGGCGCCCAGCGAGTGGCCCACGCAGGTCGTCCGTGGGATCTGTAGACCCAGGTTCCTCAGGGTGGTCAAAGTGGCCGCCAGGCAACGAGCCACAGGACGGAGGTTAGACACTGCGGCGGGATAACAGGGTGCTGCACACAGAGCACCCCAGTCGACGAGGAACACATTGTAACTTCCGTTTCGGAGGTATGCGTCCCGTAGGACAGCTATTGGGAGAGTGTCGTCACCGCCTGGAAGTGACAAAGGGATCAGAACTTTATTTGTTAATTTGACCATCTTTTATGTTACTGTTTAATCTGGTTGAAAAAGAATTCAACGTAAAATGTCCAGAATGATCAGCAGCATAATTATATGGTTGAAATTACAGCTTACATTGCTGCAAGTGCGTTCAATGACAGAGCTAATATGTATCCACTGGTTATGAAAATTACAGACATTGCTATTGGTCGTGAAGTCTATAATTATTGCATCAACGAGTATAATTAACGATTGAAAAGTGCATGTGTTAGAAGGTCGCAGACTACAAACGAATTACTAAAAAAGAATCATTCATGAGGATGTTCGAAGGATAGAAAAGACCAAAAAGATGACACAGAGATAAGCAATTAATCAAAAGTCCATATTCATTTATACTTAAACAACTTGAATAGTTTTTTTATGCAGTATACATTCTTTCCCCTTTCAAACAAAAAGAAATCAATTGAATTCAAGGAGTAGTTTTCCTTGAATAAATACTTGAACAGTCTTTCTTTTCACAGTGCCAAGGGTATGCGTCCCCTCGGGGAATTACCTAAACAATTTTGCCTTCTGAATATTCACGATATTCTAAATATTGCACTTGCTATTATTTGAATGAAAGTGCATTTTTTCTTAAAAAGTTTCAAGCTTTTGTTTTTGTTTAAAAAAATTTTGAAATGTCGACAGCTGTGACTCCAAAATCTTCTGAAATTATTTATCGAAACCTTGTCAAACAATTATTGCATACCTGCATATCCATGTATAAGGAGCACGTTCTCCCTGGTTGGATCATAATCCTGTCGTAGCCAGTCTGATTCTCTAGAATCCAATTCTCGTCTGGGTCGATCGTTCGTGTAAAGGAATACCCTTACATCGGGATCAGGGCAGGAGTCTCTATCATTTCCTCGCCTCCATACGCACTGTCCCTTATTATACTGTGCAGCATCACCATTCTGAATCGCTTCCTGGATCGGTCCTATCGCTGTCCTCTTCGTCGAGCCGCGAACCACCAGGACACACGCGATTAAGACAATTAATGACGATTTCAATGCTGAGTGCAGCATTTCGCTCTTCAGAGACGTTCGTCGTTACTGCACGATACGAGAACTGATCGTGTGCACGGTGACTCTTCGAGTGTCACTTTGTCCTTCGTCGAGCTCCCACCTTTTTCACCTGTCGGCGGCCGTTAGAAAATTTGGGGATTCAAGGGTAGAAGGGGAAAGTAGGGGAGTGAGTTCCGCCAATGGCTGTGAACGGGTGATTAAGGTGAATGAAACATAAGGTCATTAGTACTCCCTGTGTTTTGGATCGATCGCTTTCGATATGAATGGTTAGCTTGATTATACTAATTTCCGGTATTACGATGACACGAATTTAGGCTGATAAACGTGCAGAGAAACTTGTTTCTTTGATTTGGAAAACACGTGTTTTATGGGCAGAGATTATTATCGTGGAAGAAATAAGTAAGTGTTGCGTTTTTACAAACACCTAATTTGTTTATTTCAGTTATCAATTTGCAACTTCATTATCACCTCATTAATTTCGAATGCTTAATTACACAAAATTGCAATATAATGTTATGTTTATTATACTTTCTTTTTAACTTAATCAAAGAATGCCTTTCTTCGTTTTTAATTAAAGATGTACTTATAGCCATGGGCCATTGGTGACCCACTAACAGTTTATGTGAAACCTATAAAGATAAAATGCAATTGAGAAATTCGTATCTAGAGCATTAACCCTGTGTTCCAATTTGAATTGAAAATATACACACCGAGAATGTGGAAAGAGTGCATTTTATGGAAAGTTGCGAAAGTGCATCAGGATGCCATTGGAAACTTCAATGAGTGAAAATTTGGCTGTAAACCTGTATCGGTGTCGCAGTATTCCTTCGTTAGTTATCCGTAACGAGGACTAATGGAAAGGTAAGCAGAAGTTACATACTAAAAATTCACGTTCCTTTTTTCTCCGAAATGTATCAAGTACATACTTATTAGAAGTTCTAATATTGATAAAAAAGAAAAGAAAGTACGCATACAAATGATCTTGTATGTAAATTAGGACATTGGTAGAAAGCGTAGAAAATATGAAATTAATGATATATGTAATAGATTTAATAAAATTTTCAATTTTGTTTAATTATCAATTCCCATACGCCGAAAGAGGTACATCCAGGTTAGTATCGTTTAAATTGAGAAAAGAAATTCAAATGATTTGGTTATTATATAACTATAATTGCATAAGTACTCTTTAAAATGATCACGCATTAATCATGATTTTTAAATTCACACAGATTTTCTGACACAATTGAAAGAGTATAAAAATGATTAGAAGGTGAACGAAATTAATATTGCATTTCAATTAAGACAGTATATGTATTAGTACAGTCTTGCACTTTTGCTTTTGTATACGTTCTCGATTTCATTTTTGTACACGAAAGCTATTATGCAACCGTGTTCAAAAGATACTTAACTAATGTAACTGGTACATTTTGTAAATAATTTTTACGAACAAAGAAAGGTCTTTTGTCCGAAAGAAGGAATAAAGGTGAATAAGACATTTTACACCTCCACTTTGGAAAGAAGAACGTAAGAGTTATTTTAAACACAGAAGGTTTTACTCAATTCTTTTTATACGTTCCAGTGGCGTAAACATTATTATGTATACCCTTTGCTCGGTACACTTTCATTCGACTGTGACTAAAAAATAATGCGACATAGTTGTTCGAGTAGTTTGCATCAATAGGCCAGGGACTACTTGCTGTTTGCATTAATTACTAGTCATAATTATGATTAAAACGTCCTCGAATAGAAAACACAGGGAGTTCCAAACTAACTTAAAACACTGTTCTTTCTTTCTTGGGAATTGCAGACTGTCGTAAATTTCCATAAAAAATGGGTCCCTCGTTATTTGAGGAGAAAGTTCCGAAATCTGTTCGGGTGGTGGGCGAAGTGAAAGTATACGAAATTGTGGGTGCGTGAAAAATTTGAGGGCAGCGAAACTCGTTTACTTTTCTCGAAACATCTTTGTTAGTTTAACAAAGATTTAATATAAAAATATACCATTCTATTGATAGATGTTAAAAATTTTGAAAACATTCTTGTTAAATTATTTAAATTTAAAATTATAAATGACTATAAAAAGAAGTTGTATTGTTACCGCATGCAGGAAAAGTAGAAATCGTTGGGTCAAAATGAAAAAGACAGATGTATGTATTTATCTTGCGAAGGTAATATAGTTTCCGTTCCTTTCTATTTTTTCAAACTGGCTTTTCGTATAGAAAATTTGGATAATGCTTTTTCTAATATTTCAATCCTTAATGATAGCCCTTATCATCAAGGGTTGAATGACAATCTAACACTGAAGTGAATCAAGTGTGAATGGCATTATTTGATTGGTTTATTTGTCCTGGTTTTAAATGGTTAAAAATTTGAGAGGGTTGTTATTGATATTTAAAATTTTGCATGGAGTGTCTATTATATATTAAAAATGATTCATTTTGCGATATATAGAATTTGATTCCTTTTCTTATGTGTAGCATTTCTAGTTGTAGTCGTTTATATAGATTTGCTTTTCTACAACTTCTACGCTTTTCCTTAATAATGCTAATTAATCCGTTCAGAGGCCAAAATGATTAACTCCACATTTTGAATCTGTCAAAATTTGATTGCCATAGCACTTGATTAACGCTTATCTATATCTTATCGATTTCTTTACTCTTTGTTTTTTGAAGTTAATCGACTTAACAAATGGGCGGCTCAATTGTTAAATAGTAACTAAAGTTACTTTTGAGTTAAATAGTAACTAAAGAAGACTTTCATTTAAAGGACCAATCGAGTTTCATAGAACGTAGTCGGCAATTCATAAGTTCGGTATATCTCGGCTCTATCGGCGCCTAGATAGAAACAGTGACAGAACAGTTCGGACAGCAAACATTCTTCCGTGGCTGGAAGAATCGACGTCTCCATTAATTAGATACCGGTCGATCGAGCGTGCGACGGACCACGTTGCCGTCGCAGCCTCCCGTGAAATTGTGTTCCCGTTGATTTATGACGTACTCCATCTCGCCTCGCTCTTCAACATCGCTATCCTCACGCCAACTATTATTTCTTCTTTCGTCTTCTTGACAATTCTTTTCGTTTATCCGCCAGCGTCAACTAATTTCTTACCCTTCAAACGTATAGTTTGAATTTATAGAAAATCTTACGTCGTCAAGGTGTAATAGAGCATATTATCAACAAAAAAGAAACAAAAAATTAGAATTGAGAAAATTGAATGAAGAAAATTTGTCCACTGCATATCAAGAGTCTCGAAATAATATTATGCATCTGGGGTTGAAGTTATTCCAAAGTCTCTCTAACATTATCAGCAAAAGGGACGTGTATCGTGAAGAGAAATGGAAAAACTGACGTACACTCAAACACGGCGAAGAAACTCGAATTCACTTTGTTCCACGCGGAACCCGAACAACCATCCGAGACGGGGGGTTGCAAAAACCGCGTAAACACGGGGTTCGGATCCAATTCGGGTTGGTCGGAGGTTTGCGAGGGAAGTAAAACGAAGCGTGGATAGAGATGGAAAAAGAGAAGGTTAAGTGTGAGGGATGAGGAGGGTGGAATTGGAAAGGAGGTGTACGGCAGTGTGTTGTTAAGGCGATGGCGTGGAATCGCAATATTTTCTACGCGGGATAGGATCGCGTTATGAATCACTGCCGACGCGACGTGCTCTCTTTCATTCGACGCGGCTGTTTCGTGTATATTTCATTACGTGGCCAGTTTTCGTTGCAATAACAAATAACGAGGAACGAGGAGCGGTCGGAAAAAAGTAGCTGAATCTCTGGACAGGGAAAAAGAGGGAGGGATAAAGGGGCAGGAGAGGAAGGAACGAGGAAACGAGACCAGGAAACGGGAATAGAGATATGGTAGCGAGTTTTCGGCTTACTGGACCGATGCGAATCTAGGGGGTAATAAGGAAAAGCGAAGATGGAAGACGGCACACCGGAAACAGAGAGGAGGAAGGGACGGAGAGGTGCTTGGCGACTTCGAGAGATTTTTCTTATCGTCTGATATATGTTTGTACCGATTCGTTATGCAGATCGTGGTGTGAAAACTTCTTTATTCTATGTTGCTGCAACGTTTTATGCAGTTTAAGAAAATTTGTGATGTATAGTCATCTGCTGATTTACATCTTCTTTACTTGTCTTATTAGTTCTCCTTGAATTTTTATACAACTATTTTGATATGTTTATTACCACAATGAAGAAGGACATTCATTGCTCGTTTTATAACAGAAATGTTTGAAATAGAAAAGTACTAATATGCCAGGAATAACTTTGTATACCTAACAGAAAGTGTCGAAGCACAAAGAGGAACGTGAAAAAGTAGAAAAGACGAATAGTCGAACGACGGCCAAAAATGCGCAATTTTTCTTATCACTTGGATATATGCTCCGAAAAATATTGTTACACGCATTGGTTAGAAAGAAGCTTAATGTTCCGTGCACGCGCCGATATCGCGAGCTGGACGACGCCAGTCGGCGAACCTAGGAAAAAGAAGTCTGGCTCGATGCTATTTTTGATCCTCCAGATGAAATTCATTCTAGCCAATGCACTCGTATTCTTCATTCCAGAATCGGGAATTAGTTATCCTCGTAGCGAGACTCGCAAAAAACCGGCATCCTTTCAAACGGAAATCGTTAATCCTCGCTCTCTGATCTTCCACGGTTCGACAGTGACTTCGCTACGCAGGAAACGCGAAATACCGAACCGGAAGTTAGTGGAGAAAGTCAATCAAATTGGGTGTTTGGAAGGAAAATTAAGCAAACTCCATTTATTACATTTTAATCTCTCTGCTTAAAACCAATAATAATGCTAAATTGTTGCTAGTAATTTATTTCAAACATATTTAATTTGAAAATGAAATTGCATGGAGCGTAATATTCAAAATTGTATGTTCAAGTAGAAATCATTGGTCCGCAACGAAGTTCAAATGCATTTTAACATTTAAATCATTTCGTTCTATCGATGGTGTATAATAGCTTTTGAAAGCGACAAGTCGAGCGAATAATTTTAACGATTCGAATCAGTTGACGCGGTGAACGACTATAAAATCAATTTATTAGTTGCATTT